CATTCTGATAATAACAGTACAAATTATTTACAGCCATTAATCAAAATCAAATATGTACCCAATTGTGTTATATTTATAGTACTTTAAAGCTACACAGAGTAACAGAACTAATAATTTGTTTACGTTAGACTTAAGTAGTACGAACAATGATATATCACTTCGGCAGTTGCTAGTTAATAGTGACTTGATTTTTTGTATAAGGTGGTAGAGTATAAAATTTATCAATAAGATATAACAGAATGAATCCTTAAACGATTTGATTAATATAGTCGAGTCAACATAAAAGGGTGCGAGCTTATAAATATGCAGAGCAGTTATAAATATCGCGAACGTAACAATATGGACGTTTTAAGTATTGTTGTTAGATTTAATAAATAAATATTGAACGGGTAATTATTATGAATAATAACAATATAATAGATGAATTCATAGATTGACAAAGTAAAATAAATTAATACATAATATACAAGACGCCAGAAAAAATATAATTGGTATTTTATTAAATATAAAGGATATAGTAAAAGAAACCATAATATATATATAGTTGAGTAACGTTCGTGAAGAATATGGATGCAACTTAGCTGCACAATTATTGCGCGTGAGACTAATACACTTAAGACCAAAAATATTTCATTAATTGAGCTCTCTTTACGTGCGGTCAAACAATGATATATAATATAGACAAAATGAGATAAGAGAGACCAATGAATTGCTTTTACAACGATGGAATTGATAAATTTAAGCAATATAACGTACTTGAAAAGAGAACAAAACAATATACAATGTAAGATTAAATTAATTTTAAAACGTCTCTTTCCTGTGATATATGCAAAGCCGGAGATGTGTCGTTCTTCCTGACGTAGATCCTCCCGTTTTTTGTCCACACATATTGATACTGCTTAAGTTTCGCCGTCTCCCTACATTTCTTTAGTAGAAGTTTATTACACTGTGTAAGATGCTCATTGACATATACGGGACGAACGCTGCCATGTATGGCAAGGTCTTTGGTGGTCAGTCGGTTTTTTCGAGTGCCAGAGATTATGTTGTCCTTTAGAAGACGGGATTTAAGCTTTGCAATTATATTTTTCGGGCGGCCCTGTTGTTTGATTTTCGGTGTGACACGATTAACTTCTAATATATCATTAGGGGAAATAGTTACATTAGATTGCTTAGCAATGGATATAATTAAATTGGTTAAGTCTTTATCCTTGATTTCAGGAACGCCGACGATCTCTAAGTTCAAAAGGCGATCTCTTTGATTATTTGTGTTAATTTCCAATTGTAATAGTCTGTTTTCGTTAGTCAATAAGTCCATTTTAGATTCTAGTGATTCGATTGCTTTTTTGTTAACAGATAATAATTCCATTTTCTTTTGAACATGGTCATATTGGTCGCAATTGAATTGTACAGAGTTTTCTAAAACTGTGATTTGCTTCATTGTCTCGTTGTACTTTAGGTCAAGAGATATGACCGACTTTTTAATCTCGTGATATTCCTGACGGACGCTGCTTAGTTCCGACATGATCTCAGCAAAGGATGCATTTAGTTTCTCAAGATCGGTTTTTAATACGAAGTCTAAATTATTTTTAATTCCTGATATTTCATCTTGAATTTCCTTTTTCCAGTCATGTAAAGTTCTACGTATCTCTGAGGTAAAATTATTGAGAGCCTCTGAGAAGTCGTTGTCGTGTTTATGCTTACGAGTAGTCATATTGCTAGGCTCACCTGATTTATTGATGTCAGGGTTGGAATTGTAAGGCTTGCGTGGCGTGGAATCTTTCCTTATATGAGATAATACACAATCTGCCACTTTCTGATTTGGTTCGGCAAACATCAAAATCCGGCGGTGTTCACGAAAATGTCCGTTTTACACTCCTAAAATTTTTTCGTGAAATTTGTGCTTATAGAAATTTACACCACTGTATAAAGCATCCTTTTTCGCATCAAATGTATAATTATATATAAAATAATATTATAATAAATAGTTATTTTAAGCAATATATTTCAAAATATGGACAATTGTCACCTGTCACTTTTCTTCTTTTTCTTTTCTTCTTTTTAACAGTGTTAGAGCCACACTAATAGTGGATGGTATTTTGGAGCGTTTGTTTGTTTGTTTGCGTGTTGTTTACGTTTTACGGGTTGACGTTAGATGAGTTTGCTGAGCAGTTGCAAGTCGGGGAGGATCCAGAGAATATTATTTTATTTCCTCCTGATGATGATATGGTAACTGACGAAGACAGTGGGGATTAAAATGTGGCAAATGTTGTTTATCTTCCTAATTGTATACTTCAGTCTCAAGTAGAATTACAGAGTAGGCCTTCTGACTCAGAGAAAAATTGTGTAAATGACCAGGAAGTAGACAAAAACGTCAAGGTTTCTACACCAAAGATAAAATATAAAAAACGAAATACTATAAAAAGGTGGTACACCAACGCTCTTTTTACTACTTGTGGTAAAGAAGACTGTAACGTAGAAGTTTTTATACACTTATATAAGGAAATGCCAGAATTCAAGATAGTCAGATATGGGCCTAGGAGTTGCGATTGTTCTGGAACTCCTATCCACATTACCAAAAGAATTGGGACAGTAAAACTTTTAACTGGTTAAATGCCAAAGTATTTACGAGAGCAGCTAAATAAATAGCATGAGAACAGTATCACCACCATTGCATCTAACTGCCACGGATTGAGTCTTGTCACAAAATGAAAATGTAAATAAAAAGCGATCGAAAATTACAGTAGTTTGCCCAGCTATTATCAGGATGTAACAAGAATATGAATAGAGTAAACCATTTTGAATTCGCTGAAAAAACTGGTGGTATCCTGTTTGCTATTGGTATAGACACTGCTTGCCAAAATAACTGGACTGTGATCTTCGCAGAACGTTGCTACTATCTACCTGGAAACATATGATGATAAGCCTCCAACCCATGATTATACCTGTGGAGTTCCAGTCCAGATTAGAGTGCCTGGTGAGGTGAGGTTTGCAGGTATTGCCAATGACCATGTAGAAGTTGTCAGTTCGCAGCGGCGATGTGGATATTGTCATCAACGTACGCGAAAAATGTGCTCCAAGTACAATATTGTTTATCATCTAAAGTTCTAGTATATGTTCCATGGTAATAAAACGCTTCTTTTTTATATGTCAATAAACATTTTTATAAAAACGGATGTTTTATCCCTACAGAAAGAAAACTAATTTTATGAACTGTTTAAATAATGCCCAGTGTCACCTGTAGGTGGCACCCCTATAAAAAATAAGTAGGGGTAGTTGCCTTATTTTATAATTTTTTTTTTGGTCTATACTAAATATATCTGTGCCATGTAGTAACAGAAAGTATTATTTTTTTGATAAACATAGGCATGGTAATTAGAGTTAAGGAGTATGCTAGGGCTGAATCTGAATGACAGGGTGAGAAATAGTGTGATAAGAGAAGTGTGATTTGCAAGATGACGTTGTAACCAGGATTAAGAAAGGAATGCTTCGGTGGTTTTGGACATGTAGAAAGAATGAACGAGGAAAGAGTGACAAAGCAAATTTATGTTTCAGAAGTGAACGGTAGAGTCAGGAAGGGACGCTCTAGAGACGAAGATTTATCGACCAAATCGGCGATACATTGGAAATGGGCCAGATTAGTAGTACCCTTAACCGACGAGCGTGTATACGTAGATATATGGATGTAAAAGAGGCGAGAGAAGTATGTCAGGATCTCGCCAAATGGAAGTCCGTAGTCTCTGCCTACCCTACCTCTGGGTGACAGGCGTGAGTGTCTCTCTCTCTCTCTCTCTCTCTCTCTCTCTCTCTCTCTCTGTGTGTGTGTGTGTGTGTGTGTGTGTGTGTGTGTGTCTGTCGGTGTGTGTCTGTGTGTGTGTGTGTGTGTGTGTGTGTGTGTATGTTGTTTTATTATATCATGGCTTAGAGCTACATTTACAAAATAGTTTTATAAAAAATGTCATAAGCTTCCACACAAAAAGAACTCATTACATACATATATACTTATATATAGTTAACCTATATACTTATATGCCATACATATTTCAATATTTGAGATAGGACAGTGTGTGTACACACACTTTTAAAGGGAAGCGAGCCTTAATCAGCATCATTGCCATTATTTCATAAAAAATAAGACAGGTAAATACATCTTATTTCCATTGTAAAAAAACAAATGTTGCAAGCCAAGTCGCAGACAGTGACGAAATCCGAGAGTCGTAGGTAAGCTTGTCGTTCCAAGCAATGCAGATATCCAGATCACTATGCAAGTCAAGAACCATTGGAAAGCAGTCGTTAGAAAATGAACAGCCACAAAATACAACCATAGACAGACTAGTGACGAATTAATGTCAGGCAGGTAAAAAAAAAACAATGCGTATGCGCTGGGTTCGAACGACCCGCTCTCTACTTCATCCCCGCTCTCAATGACGTCATCTCTGACGGTTCGCCTAGTTATGTTGTTGTATGTGTATGTTAATATTATTGCTATATAATATTAACATACACATAATATGTTCAGGTAATATTCTTAGTCGTATAATTAATTTTAATTTAGTATATTTACGAAATATTAGTCAATCAAATTCAATTAAATAAATTTGATTTAGAAGTTCATGTCCATATTATTAATCTTTTATGCTAAAAAATTTAAACTTTAGGTACATAAGCGCGACCACTAGTAATGACGTCATAGTTTTGATAATTAGTCATCTTATTTGTATATTTTTAATACTTAACTTCAATTTAACTTAAAATGGTTTATCCACCATGTTTTAAGACTACTAAGGTCTGATTTTGTAACAGTCAAATAAAAGTTATCCATCAAATAAATAATAATCTGAATATAAAATAAAACAAACTATTTTAATCATAAAACTATAATTTTTAAATTGACTGTAAGTTTTTATTTAGTGAACTTTTAGCTGATGATTGTAAAATAGGCCCTAAATGTAGTAAATTCGACCTATATAATCAACAAAAAGTTAGTAAGCTTTAAAACCTACCTGAAATCCAATTGCCATTTCAGTCTTTCTTCTTTTGTTTCAGGCAAGAATTCGTCCAAAGGCGCTAACTCATCCTGGCAAGCAGCCATCGTTTTGGCATTAACAGGGACACCTCCAAGTTTAAAGGATTTTCTAGCATTCTTTCGGCCATCGCTTTGTTCATCTACAAATGCATGATTTTAGAACATCGACATTCAAAAAATCCAAAACTGTTATATAAGCTTTACAATTTATTAATTGAAATAAAAGTACTTTGAACATACTAGTGGTTTCTGTTGTCTCACTGAGTACAGCTTTACATCGCTCTTGTAGTATCTCACCCAGCTTTTTAAGATCAGCTAAAGGTTTTTCTTGGAGCTCAGCATCACATGCTATACTGTCCAAATGCTTCAACGGTGCAGAGAACTTTTTGTAACTTTTAACAAATCTCCGTATCTGTGTAAAATGAAATAAAGGTAAATAGAAATTCACTCTAATTAATGTTATAAAACTATAATATCAAGCATATTATTTTTTAGTAATTGGGAAAAAAAGAATATCATTGCATAAAATTTTCATAATGTTCCAAATATATAGTTTTCCCAGACCAATACAACCAAAAAAAGGAGAGTACTCCTTTCTAAATAGCCGGCAATGCACCTGCAATTTCTCTCGCGTTGCAAATGTTCATTGGGCGAATGAAATTAATACTATCAGGTGAACCGTATGCATGTTTGCTTCTTGTAAGCTCGTCTCTTCTATGAAAAAAAAATATATTTGATTGATGATGCATTCATTACCTCTTGATCTGTAAATCCTTTAATCTTTTCTCTATGCGATGCGGGAGGCCGCCCCCTTTTGCGCGGCCGATCATCGTCAGCGCTAGCTTCAGCTTCAGAGGCATCACTTTCCAAGTCTCCTTCACCATCAGCACCGCCTTCTCCAGATCCTCGGCCGCGACGCTTCCTCCCGTCTCCTGTAATGTTCAAGTTCGATTACTAAGCTTTAGATTCATTTAAACTAATACTTCAAAACACATTTGACTTGTAATGTTTTCGAAATTTTCATGATGAAATATAACACAACACGGCAACAACTACACGGCATATAAGGTATTTATATGCCGTGTTGTGTACTGGTGGACTGGTGGCGTAATAAAATCCTCCACCACCCCATATTATCTGACAAGAGTGAAACTGAAATAATATTCCTGATAACCGAGTTATTATAAAATAAGATAATAAAAACTGTAGTGATCAAATCCACCTGTTAAGCGTGGCAACTATAGCAAATATGATCAATCTATGGATTAGACTATTGATAGGCAATAATGATGACGATGATTAGTATTTATATTTTTTCATAATAAAGAATCTATATACTTACTACCATCATCATTATTTGCTTGCATATTCTTTCTTCGTGGAGGTAAATATAGGTCTTCCATTTCTTTACTTTTCTCTTGTTCTTCAATATTCTTACGAACGTTTTCAGGTATTATATCATCCTGCAATGGAAAATTGTTTTAAGACAAATAAACTTAACATTTAATTTGCTGCATGCAAATAAATGTGTCCATGTATTTACCCAATCTTTACTTTCTTCTTCTGTATTTTCCTTTTTCACCTCCATTACGGCTTTTTCTTCATCAAAAGCAAAACTGGCCACTTTAAATGCTGAAAGCAATTCATCCCCTGCCATGGTTGGACCTTCATCACGTGTCTCAGCTCGTTGTAAAATCTCATCAATATCACACTGAAATTATTTAACACTTTTGTTGAATTATTCTTAAATACTTTAGCTACAGACTACAATTTATATGCAGTTTTCCTCTTAGGTTTGTTTACTGATTCAGCAAAAATATACAAGTTCCTGACAACTTGTTATTATAAAATAAATACTTACAACAGGATCCTCATCATTCTCGTCATCATCTTTGAACAACTCTTCGGCACCAAATTTCAATATAGCATTTAAATCTTCTTTATTAAATGGATTATTTGCCGTTGTTCCAGATGCATCCCGTTTATTAAGTACAGTCCTACCAGTAGTATCCATTCTCTGGATTACAAGATGATCTAAAACCATCTTTCTTTTGGCTCTTTCTACAATGTCTTCTTCTACAGATCTGGCGGTGACTAAGCGATAAATATTCACCTAGAAAACCAATTTTTATGATATGAATTCTTACATCGTAATAAGAGCTTGTGCGTCGTGCTCGTCGGTAAAGATAAACAAAATAATTGAACTTACATACTACCTGATTAAATCCACAAAATTATCCACCAATAACAAAATGAATTTGAATGATAAACTTGTTGTAATTGTATTTATATTTTATATTAGGTACCCTTTGGAAAATATGGCTCGCCCCAAACATAAAATGAAGAGGTTGGGCTTTGTATTTATATTATTAAAAGAAGTCTTATTTCTATAACCTTTAAGTTACCCAAAAATTATGCGTAAACCATAAACTTATCAGGTTGCCCAAGTTAATATTTTGTTATATTTTATTCAGATTAATATTCAGATTAATTTCTGGCGGAAAGTCTCACTAATTAAACAATTGAACTAATCAGTTAATCTAATGGGAAATGACCCACAACAAAAGTTTAATATAATTGCATTTTAAAATTTGGTACAATCCTAGGTAGTAATGCACCAACCTCTACTATTTCGGACTAATGTAGGCATCTATCTAAAAGGATTATAAAAATGTATCACCTGGCATTATTTATCAAGTTATTATAATTATCACTCTATTTCAAGAATTAAAACAGTTTTAAATTATATTATGATATTTACCTGATTTTTCTGTCCAATACGATGAGCACGTGCTTGAGCCTGTAGGTCATTTTGAGGATTCCAATCTGAATCGAATATAATGACAGTATCTGCAGTGGCTAAGTTAATACCTAACCCGCCAGCTCGAGTCGATAGTAAAAAGCAAAAGTCTTGTGATCCTTCTGCATTAAAATGATCTAGTGCCTGTTTTCTCAGTTCACCTTTTATACTGCCATCAAGACGTTGGAATGGAAAATGTCTCCTCTGTAAGTACTCTGCTAAGATGTCCAACATTCTGACCATTTGAGAAAATATAAGCACTCTGTGACCAGTCTCTTTTAGCCTACAAAGCAATTTATCTAGCAATAGCAGCTTTCCAGATCCTCGTAACAGTTTCTGCAAACATAATACTTACAAATAAGATTATATTCTGAAAGATCGAAAATTATGAACAAGAAAAACAAGTATCTATAGTGTATATGATATACCTCAACAGCATCTGTAGTTGCTAGGGATGCTCTCGATTCAAAATCTTCAGGCTTGGTCAAAAGGGCGTGATTACAACATTTTTTTAATTCTATAACAATATTGATAAATGTATTAATGGACCCCTTAACACCTTTACGCAAAGCACTATAATTCTTAGTTAGAATCCATTTATAATATTGTTTCTGAATAGCAGTCATTTCTACTCGTAAAATTTGCTCTACTTTTGCTGGCAAGGATTTCTCAACATCTTTCTTTTGTCTCCTCAATATAAATGGTTCCAACTGCTTGTGTAGTTTTTCATAGCCTTTTGTTGCAGCATCTTCATGGTCTTTTTCAAATTCTTCCCATGATTCAAATCTAAAATCAACAATCTTATTTTATGTGTTTATTGTAAACTGTTATATTTATTGAAAACTGATATAATTGAATAGAAAGTTTGCATTATGATGGAAAGTATTATAATGTAAAATTGAAGCACGGGAGAGATTATAAATTAAATAAAAACACATCACATTTAAATATATTTTCTAAAACTCATATAAATTGTAAATAAATATGCTCTAGTTAGCATTTATATGGATGGAGTGACACAACCTGGTAAGGGATGCATGTCGACAGATGCACATGGCTCAGGACCATACTTTGTCACATTCCTTGGAGATTTTCAACAGTGGAGTTGTGATGGGCTATGATGACGAAGATGATAACGATAGCATTTCTAAGCAGTCTTAGAATAAAATGAATGTTTGCCTCTAAAGATGGCTCAAAACCCATGTAGTAAGTTATAACAATTAGAGTTTTTCTTTTGTTGAATTATAGAAGAGAATTTGTAAGTATAACTCACTTGTAAGGCATTATAAAATGCAATAACGCCCATAATTCCTTCAAGGAATTTTGTAGTGGTGTACCAGTTACTAATAATCGATGATTCGTTTCGAACTCTTTTAATGCTTTGTATAGCAGGGAATCATCATTTTTTAATCTATGAGCCTCATCTACTAACAAGCAGGCCCAACTGAATGACCTTAGGAACTGTCTATCTTTAAGTAAAATCTCATAGGTTGTTAAAATAGCATTGAACTTAAGCCTTTTTGAACTCGCAAAACTCCATTCAAATTGCCTTATCTAGAAAAATAATAACAATTAATTAGTCTTCAAATTTTCTAAAATACAAATTATTGAAATATGGGTATATGGATAAAATAATTTGCAATTATAAATTATAGGAATAAGAGGTAACTTACAATATCTCTGCTGATCACATCACCAATGTATGTAACAACATTGATGTCAGGCGCCCACTGTTCAAACTCTCTCTGCCATGCAGTCATTGTACTCAATGGTACAACACAAAGGAATGGTCCATAAAGTTGTTGTGATTGAAATAGGTAGTACAAGAAACAAATAGTCTAAAAAAGACAAAAAAAACATCATGTCCAAAATTTCTTCTTATGTAGACTAAACAGAAAATAAAATCTTTATACGAGGGTGGATTGAAAAGTACTCGGCCTAACCAAGAAAATAAACAAATACTAAATCAGTTATATTTTTATTTTTCTACATAATCACCATCAAGTTCAATACACTTTTGCCACCTCCCCTTCCAAGCATTTAGACCGTTGAAAAAAAATGATTCTTCCTTAGAGTCAAAATATGCGTCTACAGCTGCTTTGACCTCGTCGTTTGTCGAAAATCTTTGACCTCCCAGTTAGGGAACAGAAAGAAGTCTGATGGTGCCAGATCAGGTGAATACGGCGGATGCGGTAACAGTTCAAAGCCACAGTTGTGAATTTCAGCCATTGACTGTACTGACGTGTGAACACGGGCGTTATCTTGATGAAACAGGACTTTTCTTCTAAGCATTCCTCGACGTTTTTCTTTTATTTCCTCTCGTAAACTACGTAGTAAGGTGCAGTAGTAATCAGTTTATATTCTGACCCCTTTCAAGATAATCAATCATAATCACACCTTTCGAGTCCCAGAATACTGAAGGCATCACCTTATTTGCCGACAAAATCGACTTAGCCTTTTTAGGGGGTGGTGAACCAGGTCTTCTCCACTGTTTTGATTGTTGTTTTGTTTCCGGTGTACAGTAATGAACCCATGTTTCGTCCATAGTAACAAAACGATTCAAAAAATCATCTGCATCGGCTTCAAATAACTCCAAACAGTCGCGTGAAATAGTCAATCGCGTCCTTTTTTGTTCAACTGAAAGCAGTCGCGGAACCCACCTCGCAGACACCTTGTGGAAACCCAACTCGTTGACAATGATGTTTTGAGTTCGTTCATAAGAGATGCCTATAATCTCGGTTATCTCTCTAATTTTTAATCTGCGGTCTCCGGTTATTAAATCAAGTACTTTTTTAATATTTTCGTCAGTAGTTGACGTCGAAGGCCTTCCAGAGCGGGGTTCATCTTTCACACTCTCTCTACCACGCTTAAATTCTGCTATCCATTTTTTGACGGATGAATATGACAGAGCACAATCGCCTAATGTACTGACCATGTCATCATGGATGGCTTTTGATGACAGCCCCTTCTTATGGAGGTACTTAATGACGGCACGCTGCTCGATTTGCTCCATTCGCGGAAATTATGTCCGATTACTTTGTTAATAAATTTATAAAATCACAACTAATTATCGCACACGTTTCGAACTTCACACAATGAACTAGTCTGAACTGAACTAAATAATGTGGGTAGATTTGATTTTTAGAATTGAATGGATCTGTGTTAGGCCGAGTACTTTTCAATCCACCCTCGTATATAAATATAAAATTATTCTGACTGTGTATGTGACTGAACTCTTCGTAAACGGTAGACCGATTTTGATGTAATTAAGTTGACTCGAGAATGGTTTAGATTTACAATTCGACCCGGTAAGTCGCGTTGTTGTTTAAATCCAGAACTAGTCTGTACGAAGCCAGAGCAGATCGCTAGTTACTTTATAAAAATAATCTCTAAAAATCGATTCGAGGGTCTCATAATCGATCGAAGTCATTCGAACGCACAGAGGCAGTGGTTCGAACATATTGTAAAATAGCAGCTCAATGCTGCTGTTTTTTTGTATGTTGAGCGTAGAGAACCAGAGACCATTTTTAGTGGAAACGAGGCATTCCATCATAGTCCTGAGGGATGACGATACATCTGCATTTTGATTCTTGATCGAGGATAAATGTAGATGTCTCCATAGACATGGATGCTGTGGCCCATGCCACATAGAAAATTAATTGGCTTCCGATACCAAAAAATTGACAAATACAAAATAACTATTTAGAGACATGTGTGCAAAGAATAACACTTAACAATTATATTCATTGACGAACCACAGCTAAACAGTGTTCATCTATCCGTCCCAGACGAGGTGGATAATCGGAAATCGTATTTATTATTTTTGTTTCGATTTTCTTCCTCGGCTGTGTACTTTTTAGTTTATAGAAATACGATAAAAACTGGCCCAAGATACTTAGTAGACATTAGCATGCCGATAAAAATGTATACACACTTACTTTTTGAAAGATCAATGTTGAAATAAAAGGAGTACCCCACAGGATTACAGATTCATTGGAATCTTGGCATAAAGCAGTTAAATATGAAGTTAAAGACAAACATCCAAAAGAAACAGTTTTTCACTAACACATCTGTTGCAGCAAAGAAATTTAGAAAGCGATTGAAAACGTACTAAATGTAAAGTGACGAATTTTTTCAGAATATTTCAGAATCAAATTACGACTATCCAATAATGAACTTAGTGTTGGTAATTTCCTGGACATATTGCAGATTTATAAATTACGTAATAATATTATTTAAAACGAGGAAGTATAATTAAATTTAAATGCAATACGTAATGCATAGACTTTAAGAAGCTGTAATGGCAATAAGTATTTTTGGATTTTTGTTTGTTTGTGGTTATTAAAAATTAATTAATAATTTAAGTATATGAGTTGAACTGTACTTGGGGTAAAAAGTCGGAAGAACAAATAAAAGTGAATGCTGATTATCTACCTCGTCTGGGGTGGATAGATGAACACGTGTTTCCGAGTATCCACCCTAGGGTGGATTTTTTAGGGTGGATAAACAGAATAACCCGGGTCGACGAGCCGCCATTTCTAATACCATTCTTTATCCGTACGAACTGTATATGCAATAATATTGTAAATTGTTCAAAGTAAATAAAGTCAATAATTTTTTTTTCATTATTCCAAAGACTCCCCACCAGTTAATCAGTACTTGATTATTATTTATTAGTTGCTGATACCCGCGACTTCGTTCGCGTTGCTTGATATATTATATGAACAGTTTTCGACATTACTAATTACCTATATGAAAATTAGTTATATAACGGTGAAAAATTACTGAGAAAACTATAGGAATCGACGGGGGAAATTGCTCAAGGTAGCACTGAACAACATCAGGTCGCTCGCGCAAATAATGCGCAGCTGGCCCTAACTTTATCATGAGGCAAAGGTAAAAGAGACTTCCCCTCCCCTACGCTTGCCCCACTTCTCCGAGGAAAGAAAACACACATCACTGAACACTAGTGCTTATAAAAATCGTTGTTTCTGAAAACTTTAATAACTTTATATTAAGATATCGCATTTTTTTAGATAAGGGCCCAGTGTGTGTAAATTGAAATCTATCCAGTAGTTTTTCCGTGATGCGCGTGCAACTGCAAACCTCAATTATTTTATTTATATAGATCTGTACTTTAAATATGGTAGATAGATTTTATATATATATTAAGTTAACAAATTTATCGCATTTGTTGAATTGCTTGAGTAAAAATTTAGCGAAATTGCGCATGTTTTAAGATAGGTAATATATAAAAACATGCGCAAGCTTATTATGTCATGTGAGTGCTTTCTTTTACATTTAAAAAAAAATTATATTACATTATCATTCAACTAACAGGCACAAGACAACAAATTATTCAAAAATATAAATTATGAAAATAAAATATTTAGTGTAGTTATATAAGTCGTTTGTAATAAAAATATTTTATCATAGGTACATTTTTAGCTCAAATGAGATGCTTCCCTCCCAAAAGTATTTAGAAGATGAGCAGTGCAATGTTGTGGAGATATACTTTGAAAATCATAAAAAATGATCGCCCAAAACCTTTTTTACGTTAATTCTATTTTCGCTATGAATGACAAACTTTAACTTGTAATAAAAAACAAACACGCGACCTCCCGCCAAAAAATTATTTTGATCATTAGTATGAGTTCCTACGTTTTAAAAAATTACCATTCATAGTTCAAACATTTAACGCAGTGCAAAACTTTCAGTGTGCCCCTATGCAGGTTAGGATGAGTAAATAATGCCTCTGTAATATATCTTCTGTACTTGACATTACATGGAAAATTGGCGATGTCGGTGGCCAGGACATCACAAATACTATTTTAAATGGATAATATATATATATATATATATATATATATATATATATATATATATATATATATAAATTACGTGTCACATTGTTTGTCCGCGATGAACTCCTAAACTGTAACCAATGAAATTTGGAATACTGTGTGCAGTTTGGTCCAACTTGAGAGATAGGATAGTTTTTATCCCTATAAGTGAAATATTTTTAATTACTAATTTAAGATTTTTTATAGGACACAGGGCTGTTAGAGAGGGCAGAACAACATCTGCCTGGTCAGCTAGTATAAGGCAAGGAAGGTTAAAATTATTATATATTAATATTTTTACCTGTATTGTTTTACCTAAACCCATTTCATCAGCAAGTATAACAGAATTATCTTTACACCAGGAATGTATTAACCAATTCAATCCATCCATTTGATAATCTCGTAGTATATATGTCTGAAACAGAATATTCTTTATTTTTCTTTTGCCATTCAATTTATAGTAAAAGAAATAGTGTCCTCCAGATAAAATTTCAGTCACGGCCACAAGTCTCAAAGGAAACTGGAGTACAGTAAGGAAAGGATTATAGTGCAAGTACCTAATCAGGTCATAAGTATTGTCACACAGTAAAAACTTTTCTTTTAGAATGCTGGCCACAAAAAAGTTTATTGAATTCGAATTTCGAATTGTTCATGTAAATAAAACTGTATACTTTTTAGAATTTTACTCATTTTTAAATATGGAGTGGACGCTTAAAGAAGACCGTGTTGCAGTTATTGCGTTGCATTGTTGTGGTTACGCGCCAATTCAAATTTTTGACATACTGAAAAATTTGAATATAACCAAAAGATTCGTTTATCGTACCATCAAACGATACAATGAAGACTCTAGTGTAGATGACAGGTCAAGAAGTGGTCGCCCTCGGTCTCTTAGGACTCCAGCAGTGATAAAAGCTGTGAAGGCGCGAATTCAAAGAAATCCCAAACGTAAGCAGAAACTGTTGGCCCTTCAGATGGGGTTAAGCAGAACCACTGTGAAAAGGGTGTTAAATGAAGACTTAGGGCTTCGGGCATATCGAAGAAAAACAGGACATCGTTTGAATGCTCGTCTAATGGACCTGAGACTGAAGAGATGCCGCGCTTTGTTGAAGCGGTACGCGGGAAAAAAATATCGGGAAATTCTTTTTTCGGATGAAAAAATTCTTACCGTAGAAGAGAGCTACAACAAACAAAATAATAAGGTGTACGCACACAGTAGTGAAGAAGCGAGCAACCGTATTGCGCGTGTCCAACGAGGTCATTTTCCATCCTCGCTCATGGTATGGTTGGGAGTTTCTTATTGGGGCTTACCCAGAGGTACATTTTTGTGAGAAAGGTGTAAAAACGAATGCAGTTGTGTATCAAAATACAGTCCTGACGAACCTTGTCGAACCTGTTTCTCATACCATGTTCAATAACAGGCACTGGGTATTCCAACAAGATTCGGCGCCAGCTCATAGAGCGAAGAGCACACAAGACTGGCTGGCGGCGCGTGAAATCGACTTCATCCGGCACGAAGACTGGCCCTCCTTCAGTCCAGATTTGAATCCGTTAGATTACAAGATATGGCAACACTTGAAGGAAAAGGCGTGCTCAAAGCCTCATCCCAATTTGGAGTCACTCAAGACATCCTTGATTAAGGCAGCCGCCGATATTGACATGGACCTCGTTCGTGCTGCGATAGACGACTGGCCGCGCAGATTGAAGGTCTGTATTCAAAATCACGGAGATCATTTTGAATAAACTTTAGTGTCATAAGAATCTATGTTTTGTTAAGTTCATTTTGGTATATAAATGGTTACATAATGAATAAACTTGTTTCAATTATTTTATATTAAACATGTGACAGAATGTATGACCTGACTAGGTATATGTGCAAGTGTACTCACTATTCCCTCACTCTCATAGTCTGATTCGGCAACTATCCGACATGACCAGAGAGATCAAGCGGCTGAAAGAACAACGGCAACAACGGCTTTACATGTTTTCTGAGGCACGGAGATTATTAAATCCCGCCAACTTCCTAACACATACTGCTACCGAGAATTTCTTGACAGAAAAATCCCATTAACTGCTTTTGGCTCAAACCCGGGATTTGAACCCAGTACCACATGATCAACATTCACGCTTACGACTAGGCCAACGAGGCAGTCAATAATAATAAAAGAACTTTGAAAAACCATTTATGAGAGCATTTTTACACACCTTATCTTTACCCATGTACTCCGGTTGTTCTTTAAGCTGATGAAATTTTGGTCGCCTTCTCAAGACAGGACAATGCCTCGATGGTGTGGTTTTAGCAGCTTCTCTATGCTTAAAATGTTCTACTTGAACTGGCCATCGCTTCTCTATTAAAGCTGAGTCTTCCCAAGTAGCATCTGCATATGGAAGTGACTCCCACTTGCAAAAGTATTCACGAGCTGTTCCACCTCCATCTAACTCTCGGGTTTGTTCAGCTATAATTTTATTTAAATTTAGTATATTAATTTATAAAAAGCATTTAATAAATAAGTAGTTAATATTATATATAATTACCAATTATTCTTTCAACATTGTTATATGTCTTAACAAGTTCCTGATGTAATTCACTCTGACATTCGAAGTAATCAATATCCTCTGGTCCTGCCCTTTGTCTCCACCATGATAACTCTGCTTCCTTTTTTATATAATTTTCAAGTTTTTTAAGACCTTTTACTTTCTGTTCATTAAGTGATTTCTCAGATTCCCAAGTGTTGTGAATATGAGACCAACCCTTCCATTTAATCAGGTACTGGGGTTCTGTAGACTCTTCATCTTCAGGATTACACCCTTCGTTAGGATCTCCATGTTGTTCTACATAATAGACTGTAGTCACATTGCCAGTGACTGTGTAATGATAAGAAGATATTAGCTAAAATTTAATAATTAATTTGCACAAAAATGCAATAAGTTTAAATTAATGTTAGCAAAAATTATGTTAATTATTTTTGGTGAAACCACAGAACACAATTAATGGAACAGTCATAATTACAGTATATTCAACTTTTAAAAATTTAAATTTAAAGAATTTGTTTTTGTGTTATATCGGTTAAAACATTTAATATAATAACCAAGCACATAGTTCCACCTGATGTTAAGTGGATACTGTGGCCCTTGGACACCTACATTTATAACCGATTAAGAATTAAGATGCAATAAATGCATTGGTTATTCCTGAGATGGTTTCTGATCTGGTTTTCTACAATCACCATATGAAACAGCAGCATTATGTGGCTATTTCAACTAAAAACACTAAACTTGTGGAGAAGCAACAGGATCCCACATGCTAGAATTTTGAAAAAACTGTATGATGCCTTGCCCTTTCTACAAGTCAACTAACTACAGAATCCCGAAACAATTTTTATTCAACAAAAAGTACAAAATCCAATAATAAAAAACCAACAAAATAAGAATGACAGAGTTCAAGAGAGCTAAAAATCTTCACTCACGGTTCAAAGACAAGTCAGGTACTGGCTTCAGGATTTTCTTGGGAGGACTCAAACATACATAATAAAGGTATCACTTGGTTCCAGAAATTCAGTTTTTAAGCAGAATGTATGGGCATTATCCAAGCGGAATCACCTATCACTACTAGGGAAATAAAGTTCAAATACACCCTGAAAGCATAACATTTGTATTCAGGGCAGTCTTACAGATCCTGTATAGAAATGTCATGAACTCAGAGCTAATCTACAAATGCTTCCAACTCCCTAGGTTATGTTAACAACATTACCCTTCAATGAATAAAAGGCCACAGTAACCTGAAAATAAGATGCTGCAAATGATCTTGCCTTCGGTGCCTCAGCATGTAAGACTTTTGGACCAAAACCAAACTCAGGTGTGATGCCGCACCAAGTACCTACATGCACAACTGTGGATTAACCATATGGAATGCAGGCAAACTAGAAGGGCATCATCTATATCCAAAATGTTTGAAAAAATCCCAAATAAGAAAAAAGTGATTTAGATGAACTTTGCTAAAAAGGATCTTTATACAATTAGATGCCTCATTGCAGAATGTGCATTACACCCGGGACTGCCTAGGATTCCTTGATGTAGCTCCTCAATGGCAATGGCTCAAATACCAAATAGCATTAGTTCCTGCCTACACAGAAAGTACACGCTTTGTTGTGATTAATCAACTGCGTTGTAATCTCTCTCAATCTCAATCTTGTAATAGAAGGTGACGGGAAGATCAAGGGGAAATCATTATATATCGTAGAATAGCTTAATTTATTAGATTTTTTATTGTTACATGTTGTCCTGAAATTTAATTAAGTATTATACACCATTTTGAAATATATTTTAATCTTAGCTTGTATACTTTCGTTGAGTAAGAAAACACAAAACACATGTTCATTACCTAAAAAGTTCATTAATTAGAAACTGAGCATAATAAAAATTAAAAGGAGGAGTAACAAATGTTGAAATAAGTTATTTTGCAAATACATGATGGTGAGAAAAAAAAAATTGAACAGTAAAATGACTAAATGAGCAGTTACATGTGGACAGTTGTCTAATTGCAATTAGTTGGTATGAAATCTCATTATAAATTATTTATAAATAATATAAATGTCCACTGCTTTGGAGTGACCAAGGGCCACCCCTCCTGCACCCTTAACCTACCTGTCGCTAATACTGTATGACATGTGCTTTTGTATTTTGACAAATTTAACAGAACCACAAGCCCAGAACTGCCGAACATTTGAATGCATGTCACTCACTGGTCATTTATTTACCTATACTAGCTTTTCCAATAAATTAACTAAAAATAAAAGAAAAAGTTGCAGAATGCTCTACTCATCGAAATTGTGCAGATTTTGAACTCGTGAGCAAACTACCTAAGGCTGACCATATGAAAAAGTTGTTGTAGGTTCATATCTTGTAAACCTGCTACTTTACAAGATTTGACTACTTTTAATAGGAATTATTATTGTTTCATGTTAAATGGTAGGTTGTTTGGTAAAATAGAAAATCATAATATGAGCACAATCTCTCCCTTGGCTGCTCGGAGGCAAAAGAAGAACTCAAACAGGAGTGAGTACATGATATAAATACTAAGGCTGAGATCTATAGACCGTTCTTTGACTTTGCTCAGACTACTTTCAAGCTAAGACAATGTCGGTATTTATAGAGCTAACTTCGAAGTCGCGTTGAGAGCGCGCTTAGCAAAGCCTAAGTCAACGAAATCAATGACTTATGTAAAACTCAGGATATTATTCAAACCACCGTATTAATTTTAAATTGTCGTTTTTTATGTTACTCTAATTATTTATAACAATAAGTAGTTAGTTTTAGACATTCTTCTAATTTTAAATGACATTAATCCATTTTCTATCAACATAACTTCAAACTTATTTCGAATTCCTTAAAATCTTTTTTTTCTGATTTTGCACTCTTCTCATACGTTCTTGTTCTTATACGCTCATTTTGTATTTCATATAATCAATCAATAACTTATTTCTAATTTCTAATCTTTTCAGTATTTGTTGCGTGATTGAGCTACAAACATACAAACGTCCAAACAAATTTTCAGGTTTATAATATTATAGTAGGAAGTAAGATATGCATCTAAATTATTTTTAATATTTCAATGATACCCCGGACGTCATTCTGAGCGAGACTAGAATTCTCTACAGCAATTTAGGAATGTGGATGAGGATCAAATTACAACAAAGCTTCTCAAAACAGTGAGTCATAGTCCCTCACACTGCTACGACAGAGACGGAGCAGAAGTGTGGTAGTGATCAAAGCACTTTTGAAAAATTACAAATAATTTCGTCTCATAAAGAATGGTCTCGCACTCAAGACTTGACGATTTCTAGCATTCGATAGACCACCTTGTTTGGAACCACCACCTTTCGGCAGTTTAAACAGAAAACCGATGAGTATAATCTGCCATTAGATCTGGCATATGTGGGCTATTTGAAAGCCTTTGATTCATTCAAAATTTGGGCAGTGCTACTGTGCCTTCAGCGGCGCCAAGCTGGTATATATCGACATGCTGACATACATGTATTGTAATACTATGATGTCTAAACAAGTACAGAATTAGAGCTCGAAACCTATTCAACTGATTGGAGGTGTAAACTTATCCAACCGTAGATAGGGGTGACATTTTATCAATGATACTCTTCATCTCCACATTGTAAGAAATTTTCTTGTTACTGGACTGAAAAGGATATGGTATAAACACCAATGGTGAATACATCACTTACTTTTGATTTGCTGCCAGCATAGTTATTATGGCAGAATTTCTGGAGGACATTAGCACTATTACAAACAACCTCAGTAGTGTTTTCCAACAGATCTCTAAGATGTACATGGATAAGACAAAAATTATGTCTAACATCCAAGTAACACCCATAACAGCAGTGGTTGAAAACACTACAAAGACGACCCAAAGTTGTTTACAAGTATGTGTACCTGAGACATAACATCTAGATTGAAGTTGAACTTACAAATCCAACTCGCATCGACTGTATTTGGAAAGCTGCAAAACAAATCTTCTTATCCCGATATTCATCAAAATTTTAAGATGTCAGTTTACAACTAGTGAAAGTTGCCAGTGATGACTTACGAAAATGAAAGTCACTGCTGATAAAATGAGCAAAATATCTGTAAAGAGAATATCTGAAAAAGGACAAGAATAACTAACATAATCCAGCAGATCAGTGGACTGAAGTGACAATGACCCAGAAATATAAGCTCAAAGAACTGACAACCTTGGAAGGGAATAAACACACAGTTAGTTGATGGATGCAGGTGTCTCTATTTTGCAGGTCTATGGAGGAGGCTTATGTTTAGCTGTGGACTTGTGATGAGGTGTAGTAATATTGTGATATGAAGAAAATACGGAACACCAACATAACACAAGTACAAGTTAATAAAAAAACAAATAACAGGTAACATTCCACATGACAAATATGTTCTGCCTCACTATTACATAATGTTAATGTATACCAAAAAATAAAAACATTAATCATGATCAAATTTGCCTTATTTAAATTTGTGAAATGAAATATTTTGTTGTTCATCATTTGTCATTGGGTTTTGTTACATTTAATTTTACATTTTTTTTTAAATATCAAGTCAATAAAACAATGGATTTCTGCACCTGACATTTTGGTATTTTACACATCTTTACTAGGCCTTTTCCTAAAAATATGAACCTAATATTTGGCACAGCATTTGCTTAAGATGAGCCGAAATCTATGTGGCAAAACATTTGAATTTCATCAATTGAACATGTTTTAGAAGTAGCATAACTTCCATGCCTAAAACATATATTGAATGAAGGCTAATAATCTTCTTATGCTCACCAGATGTCTCTAGTGGTACTAAGGTAAGCTTATTTGTTATGCAGATGGTCACACTGGGTCATCATCATTGAAAAGTTGCATTTTAATAAGTTTTTCTGATTCTAGTGTATGTATTTACACAAAACAGAGCCTGAGTTCTATATTGTTTAAATTTTTTTTACACAGTTGCAAAAATGATTGGTTTATATAAATGAAGATAAGTCTATAAAATTAAAGGTATAATTGTATTAATATTTGCAAATGTAAACTCAACTCAGTTCATGGTATGAGATTCAATGTTTTCTCAATCAGTTAAATAACAGCTACTTTAGTACTTATATTGTGATAAATCAAAAGAACTTTATGTTCCAAAAATTGTGTAAGGGACAAAATTCATAAATATTTAATCTTAAATAGACAAGAGGTTTGAAATAAAATACCTCCTTTTTTCCCACGTCGGTACCCAAGCACTCTTTCAATGGTCTCACTGTGATCTTCTGGTTCAGGTTCACCTTCCGCTTCACCATCAGCCCCTTCAACTTCTAGAAGATCAGAAGAATCTGTTTGTTCATCACTTGCTTCCTTATAACTAACTGCTGCACCTGCAGTCCTTCTTGTGGCTGTTCGACTAAATAAAACATGAATCGGTAATGTTTCATATCAAAAAATATATTTCAAAAGGGATAATACATATAGATTTGTAAAGAAATTTAAGATTTAAACATTACCTTCTAGTGTCTTCATCGGAAGCCTCTGAACTTTCATCTTCATCACTAGAGAATCTTCTCCTTGCCGGCTTTTTTTTTCTTAAGGGTACACTTCTTTGGCCTGGTCTCTTAGAAGGTGGTGGTGGTGAACCTTTCATATCACTATCACTATCAGATGAATCTGAATTCCATGAATCACTAGAAGTTGAAAAATTAACTTTAAAGTAAGCATTTGTAGCAAAAACTTCAAGAGACTAAAACAAATTATTCAAAATCATAAAACAATATTCACCTTTTTTTTCTAGTCTTTCTATTATGGCTTCTTCCTTTCTCACTTGAGTCACTATCTGCTACTTTCAGTCTATCTGGTTCTTTTCTGGACCTTCCAGACCTTCTAATACCATAAATGTCAGGGTTATCTTCCCACAGGTCAGATTTAATTTTGCCATGGTTACTTCTAGATTTTGGTTTTATTGTATCCTCACTTGAAGAATCTTTATCGGTGTGATGGTCTGATTTTGAAGAATTTGGATTGCTATGTTTCGGTGAAAACTTTGTATCATCGTCACTGTGATGCGATCTATCTACATTAGAAGATTTTTCTGACCCAGATCTTCCAGCAGATCCAGATGCTGACCCAGAACTGGATCCACTGTCACTGTTAAGATAATGTAATAAGTCTGTGTTAAAATAGGTAAAGTATGTGAAACAGAACAAATACAAACCTTTCACTACCAGAACCCGATCCACTGGAATCACTCCGTTCACCTTTCTCACTGACAGAATCACTTCCTGATTCATTCATGGAACCCGTCTGCAACAATATAACAACCTTTTGAAAAAATTTACACCATCTCACTATAGTAAACATTCGGTTTTAATAACATCTAAAGCTTATTCCGAGAATTCAGGTAAGTAAAGAGTACCAATACATAGTTAAAAAAACAAATAGGTATATAATTTCTAGTCTTTATATAGCAATGAGATGATATTTATTTTATCAATATCGTAGTAAATGTAGAATAAACATGCTTTAAAATAAATATTCAATAATTTTAATTTAAAAAATAAATATTGAAATTTAATAATATGTAATTTAAACAAGAATTAAATTCATATATGTATATATTTTGAACAGAACTAACAAAAAGTTTAACTTACTTCACCTCAATTATAGGCATAATTTGAACATAAAAAGTTTAAATTTTTGACCATAATTATATTGAGTATTACTCTTTGCAACTACAGCTCAAGAAAGAATATTTTCAAAAAGAAACTTAATAAAATACTGATATTATGGTCAGAAGTTTAACATAACCTCCAATATACAAATATCAAGAGGCAAACTTTTAAGAGACCCATTTTCAAAGTTAAATTGCAAAAAAGGGACTTATTCAAACTTTAGTTTCAGTGGCTGCCGTGCAAAGATTACGTAACTAAGAAATATTGGAAACCCTTCATTTACGAAAACAGAGATATTTTAATACATAAAAACACAAAAAAAGGATAGTAAACAATCTGAGAAAGCGATTTATTTAGAATTACGTCTCAAAAATTAGACCAAAATTAGTGCCACACCCAAGACTTCTAGAAGATTCTACGAATAATCCAAGCCCAAAATTATGAAAATTGTTTAATAATACGCCAAAAGAATAACAAAAATTGCAGTTAAAACACTTACCAAGAGCATTTTGGAGAAAAATCAAAGAATACGCTGCTTTTCAAATATATGGCAGTTAAAACACACGGAAACAAGATAATTCATTTGCAAAAAACTATAAGAAAACACTAATCAAAACATTTATAACATATTTTTATGAAAAGACAATAAATTTGAAAAAAATGTTTTGCAGGAAAATCTTGTCAAGCGACGCCATTTTGTCGTCGCATGAATTCTGGTGACGACGAAAATGAAAAACCAGATTTTTTCTTAAAGACTTAGGTTAAAACAATGCAAACGGAAATAACAACCACAAAAAAATTAAAAATTAAACTTTACAGGCGTCGGAAATACTCTGCTCTGTACTTGAGATGATGCGAGTACCGCGCACTACCAGCGAAACTCGAAAGCTACAGCCATATTGCCACTGCTATGCTTTTCTCTGACATGAAATGGATAAACGATGACCAATGTGGCCAGATAACAAAATTAAAAGTAGTGCGTAATATCCGTTTCTTTAAATTAAAAAAAAAATACTTTGTATAATTTTATTTTTACAATTAAAGAAAGCATGACAAAGATAATATTTTATCTCTAGCACAGAACACAAGTAATTGACCCAACCCCACCCCCATCACCCTAGCCTATGAATTTGGAGTATATATATAAAAAAATACTGGTAGACGTGTAGCACATCTCAAAAATATTTATTACTAGCTGGCCAGGCAGACGTTGTTCTGCCCTTTCCGACGACCCTTCCCATAAAAAGTCCTTAAATTCGCAATTTAAAAATATTGAAGGTCACTGAACGGGATAAAAAGTATCCTATCTCTCAAGTTGGACCAAACTGAACACAGTGTGCCAAATTTCATTGAAATCAGTTCAGTAGTTTAGCAGTTCATCGCATACAAACAATGTAACACGTAATTTTTGTATATAAAGATTTAAACTGCACCCATGTAGTTTAGATATAAAAAATAGTTAAATTCGTTCACCTTATAACGTCGCTATTACTTCAAATAATTAGAATTGGGTACGTTTTACAGTATAAAAAAAACTGCACCTTGCTTGCATATAGTTGCACCATCGTTAAAAATGCACAAAATGCAATGATAAACTCAAAAAGTTGGCAAAATCAAATTTGTTGAAAAAAAAGATATAGTGGTTTTAGTAAATTTTATCTTATCATTGCATATAATGCATTTTTAACGATTGTGCAATTATATGCAAGCATAGCGCAGTTTTTTTTATACTAAAAAAGTACCCAATTTTAATTATTTGAAGTAATATCGACGTTATAAGTGAACGAATTTAATTATTTTTTATTTCTAAACTACATGGGTGCAGTTTAAATAATTAATATTTTTGGGATGTGCTATAAGTCTGTCAGTATTTATTTTAATATATATAAGCTCCAACTTCATAGGCTGGGGTGGGGGGGGGGTTAAGTAATTGATCTATAGTGTCTATATATTGATTGACGTTTTGTATATTAACCCCTTAAGTTCCGCTAATGGAATATAGAGTAGAAGGAGAACCATCTCATATGGGGGGAAAGTTGAAAAAGTGTCCAACTGTATACTGAAAATAAAGGTTCCAAAACCTACCACAATAGCGCTGGCGTCTAACTACAATATGAATATAGCTGTTGTAGACGGAGTGAAGTCAGCTGAATTATGATATTTAAAAATGATCATGACTAGAGTAGTTAGTAAAATGCCAGTATACATAACCTCAACTATTTACGTAGTACAAAACCAAGCGGATTGGTCGGTCCTTGTTTATTTCTCCATCTTATTCTAATTACTTTTGGCGCTTTTTTTTTTAATTTTTCCTATGCTACCGCAGCACCACCCTTATTGGACGCGTTTTGACGGACAGTTATTCTTATACAGAGATGCTCCACCTTCTACCACAGCACATACCACAGAACACTGCACAGAGTACATTATATATAGAGAAGAACACTGCCTTTTACTCTATACTCCATGATTATTTACTTGTCAAAGTTATAGACCCCGCCAAAGAGTATAGTAATGAACAAATTTAGAAGGTACCACTTAGAACTTAGAACAATAGATAAGAGTGTTAAGAATTTAGAGTACAAATAAGCAAGGTATAGAGCGCACGTATCACTCATATGCCCAATATACCATGCGTAATCAGAAATGTTCTATAAATACTGATACATAGTTGAGAGTGGTTGAATAGGGATGCGCCAAGATTGAAGCCTATGCGTTATTGTACTTAAGTTATTCCTTTGATTATGTAAGTGCTTTTAAATATTAGGTAAGCGATAATTATAAGGTATGTTTTAGCTTAATAAATTATAGGTACAAATTTATGAAACGATGTTTATTAATTAAACACAAAAATCTAATTAATTTACTCCCCCTTAAAAACCATATCATGCAGGGTTACTGGGAACTCGACAACTTACTGGCAGGGCATGAAAGGGGAGTCAAAATGCTACAAATTTGACCCACCATATGTATGACCAAAAATGAACAGGTCTTGAGATAAAAGGTTTTTATAAAAAAAATCTATTTTTACACTTTAGAGACGTAAAAATATTTCAAAAAATATGGCCGTTTGATTAGCTATCCAAAAAAGTAAAGTAAAGTATACCTCGGTGAAATCAATGAATAATAATTTTTGTACTCGTATCGGTATTTTTGCATAATATGTCCCGTGCGTACTGTCGGATTTCGCTGTCACGGACGTTGGACATCAACATAATTTTCTAAAAGCAGAATTAGTTATTCATCTAAGTAATATCTACCTTGTTACGGTACACTGACTGATCACCTAGATTAGGTGAGATTTCTAATAATTATTTCTAATATTTCAGAAATAATTATTAGAAAGGTTGAAAAACAACCTGAGCTTAGACAAAACGCCGTTACCACTTCGCTGTTTTGTTTACATCTACACGTGTCGTCGGTCGGTAGTAGTGGAGTCGGTAAGCACAGGGGTGAGAGGTGCAGGCAGGTTCAAGAGAAACTTGCGATGTAGATAATCAAAGAACTTTCGACATAGCTCTGTCTCTATCCAGCGCTCGTGTCTAGGTCGTCGGACGTCTGGATTCGTCCTTTTCGGAATTTGTATAAGTGAGAAAGACTAATAATTTTGGTTGGGTTATATTTATTCGATTACTTTTTTGCTGTTGTTACTAGTGGTAAAGTTCAATTTAGTTTCCAGATAGAAGGCTTATAAGATAAATTTTCATATTTCTAGGTAGTAAATCATAGTTCTAGTTTCTCTAAAGTTGTATTGGAAGTAAAGGACAAATTGGTTTTCCTTTAAAATCCAGTACAGTCATAAAGAATAATTTGTAAACATCATGTGCTTTAGATCCTAAATCTTGAAGTATACTCAATTTATACAACCTAGATGATTAGTCATCATGAATAATTTGTGATTTACAGCCATAAATCATATAAAAACTGCACTAAAAGCCGTAAAATTTTGGGTAGTAAAGAACAATTTTTCGAGAATTTCGCTACTTTGAGAATGCAGTTCGATAGAAAAATAAAAACTGGCTAAGATGCTGTAAATAATGAATAACATACAACTTATAACATGGCCACGTAGCTTAGGCAAGGAAGGTAATAAAAAATCGACTACCGAAATAAAACCTAATACTAAATCTAAAATGCATATATAAAGTTACGTTATAAGTCGTTCTAATGTTCCAAGTAGTTATCCAACTATATCAACGTAACAATGTCACGATGATTTTTGGTAACCGGAACGACGTCACAGTTATTAAAAATAACCCCAAGTCTCTTACGAGACCCATGAGATGGTATGGATATTCATACATCGCCACTACATGGTAATTGATAACTTCTCAAAACATTTTATTTATGGATAACCTCTTGCAATCGTCGTTTCTCTTATGCTCACTTGACCTTTATACAAATAATGCGATATCTTAAGAGCGTAGACGGGCTGCATTTTTTCCATACAAATGTATTCCCCTATTTTCTTCCTGGATAATGTCTCTAGAGTAATCGGTTTTGAGAAAGGAATGCTTCGGTGGTTTGGTCATGTAGAAAGAATGAACGAGGAAAGAGTGACAAAGCAAATTTATATTGCAGAAGTGAACGGCAGGGTCGGGAAGGGACGCCCTAGACGAAGGTTTATCGACCAAATCGGCGATACATTAAAAATGGGCCAGATTAGGAGTACCCTTAACCGACGAGCGTGTATGCGTAGATATATGGATGTAAAAGAGGCGAGAGAGGTGTGTCAGGATCGCGCCAAATGGAAGTCCGTAGTCTCTGCCTACCCCTCTGGGTGACAGGCGTGAGTGTTTATGTATGTATATGTAATCGGTGTTGTTTATAAAAGTCTAGCTCTATTGAAGGCATGTCCTTGTCATTTATTTTTTTTCCAAAAAATTATTACAAAAATAAAAGACTTTCCAAAAACCTAAAAAAAATGCCCCGTTTTTACCTCCGTAATCAGACGACTACCAAACAAATTTGAAAAGTTTTTAAGATAAAAGCAATTAATAGGAGCGTAAAGCTATTTTTCCTTTAAATTTTGATACCAAAAATAATTTTATCGGCTTAGTTTTCGAGGAGAAAACAGGGGAATACGAAATGTCGATTGGTCATGGTTTCTGTAGGTAAAATCGTTCTTAGCTGCAGTTGTCGCTATCGCACTCTACGGGGGAAGACCAGATGTGAAGGATGGTTAGACTAATAAGTACTTATTAGTGTAAACAATTAGGAAAGTGACAACTGTCGAAGTTTTTATCGATATCATAATGATGTCAGTCGATATCGACGTTTATCCTATACTGATTTACAGGCGGCACAGCACAGTGAAATTAATAAGACAACGAAGTAACAATTCAGTGAGTTTACGTTTATTATTATTTGAAATGAACTTTAACGAAATAATACGTAACTAATATGACATGATGACCATGGGAACACATGAGAAGTATGTTGCTTCAAACAATGCCTATAAAATTTGTGGATTGCCCTTAATTTTCTTGGGATCCCATCATCAGATCC